CTCTTGCAGAGGACCCAGGTTCAGGTCTTATCGGCATGGCAGCTCACAACCATACAGTTCTAGTTCCAGGGATCCAACTCCATCTCTGGCCTTGGCAAGTGCCTGCACGGAAAGTTGCTCAGGCACCTATGCATGAGAAAAAAATAAATAAGCCTCTTAAAAACACTAATGAGAAAAGGCTTGGGCATGGTCAGCTCAGGCCCTTATCCCCCATAAATTTCCTCTTCTCCATCGGCAGGCTCAGAGGCTGTGAGCGGACTAACAGAGCTCTGCCATTTTGAAGACAGTTTCTGTTAACGCTCTGGGGTTTCCTCTGCCTCTGGCCAGCCTTGTGGGCACCCCTTCAGGCCAATTCCTATAAAGCACATTCACCCTCTTCGGACCGTGCACAGATGTGCCACCAGCTAGGTGGCCAGCTGGTTCTCGTGGGCCATGGGAGTGCTTTTTCCTTTTTTTTTTTTTTTTTTTTTTTTTAAAGTCAGGATGTGTGCATCTGTGCCACTCATTTTTCTTGAATTGGCTCCCTAGGGATAGAATTAGGATCAGGGGTTGATCAGAGCTTGAAAACTTTTTCTGGGGCCCCTGAGGTGGGTGTGAGGCTGAGCAGACTTATGGAGGGAAAGAAGAGCGTGCTCCCACAGAGGCTGTAATGGAGAAAACCTGTTGTTCTTCTGGAGTGCTCAGGGGCAGAGGGCCCAGCAGAGCTTGGTTCTCCCACACCCTATCTCTGCCTGTCTTCTGTCCTGGGACACTCCCCACTCCTCGAGGGCCATAGTGATGCCTGCCCACTCCAGTTCCCCTCTATAGCACAGCCTCTGTCATGTCCATCTTTCTTATCTTTAGGTCCACAGACAAGGGTCCTTTGGCTGTATTTGTACCCAGAGGGCCAAAATTCTTCCTTATTCCCAGATCTTCCCCCCTGGAACTCCACCCATTCTCCTGAGGTGACATGCAGAGTTTGTAGGGCACTGACAGTGAAGCACGGACTCTAAATCCAGGGACTGGGGTCACCCATGAAAGAGAGGTCACCAAGAGCAGCAAGGGCTACGGCCCAACTGGATGATGAGATGGGCTGCACCTGGATGTTAGGGACCCCAAGGGGCTGTTCCAGTTTTAAGGGCAGCACGGGCTCCTACTTCTCTCCACTCTCAAATGTCCAACCCCCAGCCCTTGCCTCCTGGGCTGCACTGTTCTATCTCATCTTCCCAGCCAGTTCACGCCAGCTCAGGGTACAGAGGGGCAGTGTGGGCCAACTCACAGCCCTCAGCTGACCTAGGGGAACATTTCCATCCTTATCAGTGATTTACATTCCAGCCATGGGCCAGGCTTCACCCACATTCAGAAGGAACACAGAGCCCAGCGCTGGGGGTGCAGCGTCAAGCAGCCAACCAAGGAGGCATTTCATGTGGCACTCTACTTCCCAAAGTAGTCAGTTTGTCTCAGTATTAAAGATTGCTCTTAAAAATATTTCCTTTATTTTTAATTATGTGTGTGTATACATATGAGTGGTGGTGCCCCCGGAAGCTACAGGCTGGATTTCTTTCCCCGAAGCTGGAGTTATAGGCAGTTGTGAGCTCCCTGATGTGGGTACTAGGGGTCAAACTCAGGTCCCATGCAAGAGCAGCTCTTAACCACTGAGCCGTCTCTATAGGCCCGAAGCATCTGTTTGGCTCTTCTCCCCTGAGTAGCTGACTGAGTCTCTGTATGGGCTCACCAACACCACACTGGTGTAGGCTCCCCCTCCACACCTCTGTCCTTCACAGAAGAGTTGGGATGGGCAGCCTTCTCCCAAGCCCCCACACTCCCACCACACTCTGGAACTCCTGAGTCCACACGATAATGTGTTCTGTCTAAATGGACTCCCACTGCCTGGAGGGGCAGCTGTGGGATTGGGAAGCTGGACCCTGACATGGCTGCTACATGTCTGTGTAGCCCTTGAATGAGAGGTACCCTCTCCAGGTCCTGTGGCAAATGGAAGTGACAGATGATTTTCACAGGGCTGGGTGGTGTCTCTCAGTTCATCCAGTGACACACGTGGTGGGAATTTCTGGTCAGATGGGAAGCTAGGAGGACAAAGGTCTTGAATGTCCCTCAAATTCCAGCAGTGGGCTGAGCCCCACCTCCCCGCCCCTGCTGCATCTACCTCTCTTGAGTATCGATAGACAGAGTCTCCAGAGCTGGCTGTGTTTCCACTGGACAAAACTACCACTGGCCAGTCTGTAAGGTACCTCCAGGCCTCCTCAGCTCCTGCCTCTGTGAACCCATCCTACATAGCTCCATCCTGGATATGGAGCCATCCCAGGCCAGCCTGGGCCTTCCCAGCCTGGGCCCTGGTACCTGAGCCCATACCCACCTTGGTCTGTGATATGAAATGGAGAGGCACCCCATTCTGTGCTCTGCGGCTGCTGTGGTCCCTTCCCCTTCTGCTTTGGGGGCACTCAGTGGGTGAACGAATTCACTGCCCCTGACCTCATCTTCAGGCAATCTGAAGGAAAGTGCTTACCTGTTTCCCTTCTCTGTTCAACTTTCTCCTGGCCCCACCCTGTCCCACTGCAGAAGTGGCTGAAACCCTCATATTGTCTTGGTTTTGTTTAGCAAACAAGACACATGCAAAGCAGTTCTGTGTGTGTGTGTGTGCATATGAATACATGTAGGCATAGAGTACCTTCATACTTTACATCCTTACCTGAGAGGTGCAGGATGCCCCTGTACCCCCCCACCCACCCTTCACACACTAATTTGGCTTTGGGCCAATTCCTTGCCTTCTTTGGGCAGGAAAAGCCCATTTGCTGCCAGGGGCCAAATCTCCTAAACAAGTCAGTTCAAGAGGCCACAGTTGAGCTGGGTTGAAGGTTCAGTAGGTAAAGGGCTTGCCTTTAAAAAGGAAGCCTAAGGACCTGAATTTAATCCTCTGCACACACACACCACCACCACCACCACCACCACCACCACCACCACCACCACACACAGACCACACGACACACACATACCACACCACAGCACACCACACCCACACCACAACTCCCACACACACACACATGGCCAGGTGCACACTTGTGATCCTGGTGCTGAGGAGAGTGAGACAGGGGGATTGCTGGACTGCTTTGAGCCCTCCTACGTGGCTGAATTAATGAGCCCCAGGGTCCCATTGTGGCAGTTTGAATGAGAAATCTCCTCAGGAATCTGAACACTTGGTCCCCACCTGACTGCACCGTCTAGGAGGTTTAGGAGGCAGGCCTTCTTGAAGGAAGTGTGGCACTGACAGCAGGAGTTGAGTTCATTCTTTCTCAATCATGCTTGCTGTTCAGGAGGGGAGCCCTCAGCTTCCTGCCCCAGCCGCCATGCCTGCTGCCTCCTGCCATGCTTCCCGTCTGACTCCACCCTGATGAACTCATCCCTCTGGAACCATAAACCCCAACAAACCTTTCTTCGGTAAGTAGCCTTGCCTTTGGTGTTTTACCATAGCAATAGAAAAGCAACAAAGATAGCCATCCAACACTTGAGGCAGATCTGGCCTACACACACACACACACACACACACACACACACACACACACATGCGTGCACTCACAGGGCTAGATTACGTTTTGCAGAGGAGCCATTTGAAGACAATGGGAATTTTGAGGGTTCTTTGTTTTGCTTTGGTTGTTGGTATCAGGGATTGGACCCAAGGCTTTGCATGTTCTAGACAAGAACTGTGCCACTGCTACAGCCAAGCACCCATAGGACTTCTTTTCTGAACACCCTCTCATCTCCAGGAGGCTGGGGTCTCTGAGCCTCAGCTGTCCCATTTTACAGATGGGACATGTGCCTTGTACAGGGTTTCGTGGAGAGGAGAAAAATGTATGGAAACTCTCCACGGAGCCAAAACTGTCTACAGAAAACTGTGAGCAGCTCCTGGGCCTTGGGCAAGGAATACAAGTAGCTTACTATCAGAGGAGGGAGCCTCTGGGATGACCAAGAGAGGCTTCATGGAGGAGGTGGCATGGCCTCGTCGGTGGGGCAGGACTTTAAGCAGAAATGCTGAGGGCTTGGTAGTGCCTCCTGAGAACTGAGCTGTGTGTACCGTTTCCCACGGTTAATGTCACAGAATCCTGCCAGTGTCCCCACCAGGACAAGATTGCTAGGATTACAGTGTAACTGAGCCCTGAGAGGTTCAGAGCTCCGTCTGAAGTCACACAGCTGGTCAGGCAGTAGCCCCAGGCTTAACTTCATCAGTCCTGCCGAGCTCCCTTTGCCGCACTCAAAAGGCAACACTAAGGATGTCTGTGGCCCGTCCTTGGAGCTGCGGCAGGAGACTGACAGTGTCCTGCCCTCCCTGGCGGGCGTCCTGGTGCTTCTTGGCTGGTCTGTGAGCTCCCTGTCAGGCCCCTCGGGTCCTCAGGCAGTCCCAGCTACCTGGTAGGCGCTTTACAAACGGGTGTCGCATGGAAACAAATCCACCTTTATTTCTATTTACAACAGCTGAGAGGCACAAGCTTCCCCCCCGCACTATTCGCTGGTTTCATGGCCCGGTGGCGCAACTGAGGAGGCCGACTCCCAGAGGCCAGACAATACCGTCCGGGGTGGGGGACGGCCAGTACATCTGGCTGAAGATGAGGGGTGCCCGACCAGCTGGGGCAAGCCACGACTCTGGGGCAGCCAGAAGGAGAATCCCTAAGAATTCAGTCTCCAGACCCAGAGAAGCAAGCAGGAGGGTGTGTCTGTGGCTCCCAGCTCTTGTCTGGTTGTGGCATCCCTGTTCCGGGGTCCTGTAGCTTTCCATGCTCTGGCATAGGATGAGACCAGAGTACATCTGTGACTGCTTCAGGAAGGCCCGAGCTGAGTCTTACACCTTGCGGCAACTGGAGAAGGAGTGTGGCTTGCTTGAGGATGCCCAGCAACTCCGAGGGTCTCGAAGAAAGAAGCCCAGAGCCTCCTGGACGGTGCTGCTTCCAGGAGGAGCGACTGGCGTGGTGGGCTGGCCTTCGGGTGCGGCACGCTGGAGCAGGCAGGCAGTCTCACTTGAGGTTGTGCTGGCTCTCACGGTGGCGCCGCAGGTCCACCTTTCGCTGGAAGCCCTTGCTGCACAGCTCACAACTGAAGGGCTTGAAGCCCGTGTGCTTGCGGCTGTGGGTGATGAGGTTGGAGCTTTGGCTGAAGGCCTTGCCGCACACCTGGCACTTGTGGGGCTTCTCACCTGGGGAAGGGGCAAGCAGTCAGATGGCAGTGCCCCTGCAGCCTCCACCCTCCATTCTCTATTGTGTTTCCTTTACTGATAGACTTAGAAAATGATGGGAAATAGTCAGGTGGCGGTGGCACACAAATTGATCCCAGCACTTGGAAGGCAGAGGCAGGTGAATTGCTGAGTTCTAGGCCAGCCTGACCTACATAGTGAGTTCCAGGTCAGCCAGGGCTACACAGAGAAATCCTGTCTCTAAAAACCAAAAACAGATAAACAATCACAACAACAACAAAAAGAGAAAAAAAAAAAAAAGAAAAGAAAAGAAAAAGAAAAAAGAAAGAAAGAAAAAAAAAGAAGAAAAGAAAGAAACAAGGTGTCCACATCTGTACTGAGAAGTTGAGATTGAGGTCAACATCAGCTACATGTTAACTTGAGGCTAGCCTGGGCTACATCAGACTTTGTCTCAATAAGCAAGCTAAAAAACAAAATGTTTCTCTGACTGATACTCCAACCAAGCACCATTCATGGAGATGGCCTAGCACCCCTGCACAGAGGTAGCCCATGGCAGCTCAGTCTCTAATTGGGTTCCCTAGTGAGGGGAACAGGGACTGTCTCTGACATGAAGTCAGTGGCTGGCTCTTTGATCACCTCCCCCTGATGGGGAAGCAGCCTTGCCAGGCCACAGAGGAAGACAATGCAGCCAGTCCTGATGAAACCTGATAGGCTAGGGTGAGAGGGAAGAGGAGGAGGACCTCCCCTATCAGTGGACTTGGGGAAGGACGTGGGAGGTGACTACAGGTGGGATACAAAGTGAATAAACTGAAATTAATTAAAAAAAAATGTTTCTCTGACTGTCAATACTGTCAACTTGATGGGACTTAGGGTGACCCAGGAGACACACTGCTGGGAATGTCTGTGAGGGATTTTCTAGATTGGGTTAACTGAAGGCCCGCCCTAAATATGGCAGGCACTGTGCTGTGGGCTAGGGTCCTGGCCTGAGGGCATGCAAGGGAGAAAGGAGGCTGAGCACTGGCATTCATCCCTCTCTTTGCTGACCGTGGAAACATGTGACCAGCTGCTCATGCTACTGCCCCCATGCCCTCCCACCATGATGGACTCTACTCTCAAACTGTGAGGCAAAATAAACCCCGCTCTTAAGTTGCTTTTCTCAGGCATCTCTGTCACAAAGATAGTCTTTCTCTGGATTCTAAGCTGGCACGAGCCCTTCCTGGTTTCTCAGTGGGTCACCATGGCTTGTGCAAGGACTGGCCCGCAGAAGCACCGGGTTACAGGGGGAGAGCATGATGGCGTGACTGGCTGTGCGTGATGGATGCAGAAATAATCCTCATGCTAGCCTCAGCCTGCCCTCAGCTCCGCATTGACTTTGCTGCCCTCCTAGTGTTTCTTCATACTGAGGTCCGGTCCTCCAGCCCCTCCTCAAGTGGGCCTCTTGGCAAATGACGGGATGCCCAGAGGCCAGGCAGGAGATCATCTGGCCATCCCCAGGCTCCGCATGGGCACACTCACCTGTGTGGATGTAGGTGTGTTTCTTCATGTCTGACTTCTGGTGGAAGCGCTTCCCACAGAACTGGCAGGGGTAGGGCCGAGTGTCCGAGTGGATGAGCAGGTGGGTAGACAGGGTGGATGAGCGCTTGAAGGCTTTGCCACACATCCGGCACTCGAAGCTACGCTCCTGCCGGAGGAAACGAGGCCCTGGGGGGTCAGGTGCAGGTGGGGCCTCGAGGCCCGGGACAGCCAAGTTGGGCGCAGGACTGGGCCCGGCTGGGACAGCCTGAGAAAGAGGACAAGTTGCGGTGGCCTCGAGGACAGGGGTCTAGGGGAGCAGGAGGAGCTCCACCCTATTTCTGCTTCCTCAGCCTGGACTGAGGCTTGGGGCCTGCCCAGCTATTTCCCTATGCCTTTCATGATATGCATCTCAAAATAAGCCTCAAGGTATGTCTGTTGACTGACTGATGAAACAGCTAATCTAAGTTTTTCAGGGATTCACCAGTCCCCCAGAGTGAGTTCCTCTTGGCTTGTAGCCCAGCTTGGCCTTGGACTTATTGTGAGTAATGATGACCTTGAACTTTCGATCCTCCTGCCTCCACTTCTGAGTGCTGTTACATACACCACCGTTCCTGGTTCATTTGGTGTTGGGGCTCAAACCAAGGGCTTCATGTATGCTAGGCCAGCACCCTACCCACTGGGACACCTGCCCAGCCCAGGAGCCGTAGGATTTGGGGTGAGCCATTCAGCCTGCTGGTGTAGGTTGGTTTTCTCATGTATGCACTGGGGCAGTGCTGGCAGAGGCCTGGCTGGGATGTGGGAGGCTGTGAAGTAGAAGACAGAGCCAGCTTCCAGCCTGATGCTGAGAATGGATGCTCCTGGGATCACTTCCCACCTTACCTGTTCCCTCCGAAATGGAATGAGTCCCAACTGACAGAGACAGGTGGGGTGAGATTAGCATTTAACGGAACTCTAAAACTCTAAGAATCCAGGGGTGTCTGCAGGGCCACCCAGAGCACAAGATGGTTTTTGAGTCTCACAGACATATTTCAGTCCCCACTCCCAAATTCCCAGAGCTTCTTCCAAGCAGATGGAAAGCCAGTTCAGCCAATCAGAGGCCCAGTATGCTAGGGGATTGAGACCTAGGGGGGCAAGTAGGAAGTCCACTCCTCCCCCACCGACCTGTGTCCTCTTCGGCCTTTGCCAGCTGCTCACCTGGGAATGGACGTGCATGTGCTGCTCCAAGCTCACAGCGTGGCCAAAGGTTTTCCCACAGACATCACAGGCAAAGGGCCGGGTTCCGCTGTGGGAGCGGCGGACGTGCACTTCTAGCCCGTGAGGGGTGGAGAACACCTGGAGCAGAGCAAAGAGTCAGGTTCCTGGAAGGAGTCAGGCCTGTGGTCATCCTGGCCATGGGTCCAGCTCCAGAGCAGGATGCAGCAGGGAAGGGCACCGCATTGGTGGTCCTGCTGTTCTTCTGCTCTGTGTCCTGGGGAGTCCCTTACCTCTCTATGGCAGTTTCCTGTCTATAAAATGGAGGCTGTGTGTGGGGAGGGAGCCAGAAGGCCCCTCCATGCCCCATCTTGAGGCTGAATAACCCATTGGATAAGATCTCAGGAGCAGGGGGCTGAAGAGATAGCTCAGTTGATAAGAATGTCTGCATAGCACATCGGGCCCTGCACTCTAGAAAAGTAGACAAAGCCGGGCTTGGTGGTGCATACTTGCCATCCCAACACTTAGGAGGTGGAAAGAGAAGGATCAGGAGTTCCAGGTCATCCTTGGCTACAAAGATAGCTCAGGTACAGCCTGAGCTACAAGAGGACTTGTCTTAAAAAAAAAAAAAAAAAAAAAAAAAAAGTCCAGAGCTAGCTAGCTGGAGCCGCTTAGATGCTGTTCTTCCTATCTCCTTGCTGTGGGCTCGGCAGGTGCTTTGACCTTTGACCTTTGACCTTCATTACCCACAAGAGCTTATTCATGTAAGCAGAAGGCAAGCTGCAGTCAGGACTTGGATGGTGTAAGGACGAGCATTCTACTTCCTACATGATTCTGAGAGTCGCAGCACAGGGACCACTCAGCCAGAAATGACAGCAGGGCCCAGCATCCTGGAGAGAAAGCTCTGGGCTGAGCCCACATGCCCGTCACTCACCTTGTTGCACTTGACACAGTGGTAAGTGTCCATGCCCGGAGAGTAGCGGAGGCTGAAGTCCAAGGGTGACTCGGTGCTGGGCACGAGGGGGCTGCCGTACAGCCGCACGGAGCGCTGCAGGAAAGCTGACTGCATGGTGGACGGGGTCTGCTGGTAGCTGTGGCTGTAGGAGGAGGCCAGCGTATCCCAAGAGAAGCTGGGCTTGTAGAAAGGGGGTGACTCGGAGAGTGGTGACTCCCCCTCCTGGGGTTGGGATGTCACAAGGGGCCCCTCTGTGCAAAGACACATGTAGGTGATTTATTTTAAGGATTTGCTCTCAGCTCTCTACAGGTATGTGAATAACATTGTGTGCACATGTGTGCGGGTGACTTCAGAGGCTAGAACAGGGTGCTGGACCCCCAGCTGGAGCTACAGGGAGCCTTACATAAGCTGTGGTGTGGTGCTCAGGTCCTGGAGGAACAGCGAGTATTCCTAAATGCCATGCTATCTCTCTGGCCACCAGTTGATTAATTCCATCCATCCATCCATCCATCTATCAATCTATCTGTCTACCTATGATAGGGTTTCTCTCTGTAGCCTTGGCTATCCTAGAACTCTCTATGTAGGCCAGCCTGGCCTTCAACTCACAGAGATCCGCCTGCTTCTGGTTCCCACGCATTGGAGTTAAAGGTGTGCCCCAGCATGCCTGGTTGAGGTGATTAACTTTGAAATGAGGAACCCCAGTGCTCCATCTCTCCTGATGAGCACCTGTCGAGGGTTCCAGTGTGCAGCCCAATGTGTACCATTGGAGTAAGTCCTCACTGCAGTTTCAGCCCCCTTACGCTGGGCACCACCTGGCCACTGTCCTCCCAGCTGCTTCACACCCACACCGAAATCCTCATCTGGAGCAAGTCCTTGCCCAGAGTATCCATCAGAAGCTGAGAGCCCAGATGGCATCCAGTGACTTTATTGACGCCCCCCCCCCAACTTCATGACCCTAACAAATCCTACCACAGAACCAACTGCTCTCCTCTCAGGCACTTGCAGGGAACAGTGGAGGAAAACCCAGCTGGGTACCTGGGGCTGAGGCCATCTTGGGTAGGCTCTGGTCCAGCAGCATGCCCTTCTCCTGTTTGGCTGTGTTCCACTCCAGGGTCTGGCTTGGGAGCAGTGTGCTGAGGACCGGGCTGCTACTCAGGGTATGCTCTTTTGCCACTGTGAGGAGACAAGACCCAAGAGTCACCACCCCCAGTTCTGGAATGCCTGCAGGGAGCAAGAGACATCACGTTTCCAGGGACACCAGCTGCTGCTGCTTACGCCAGGTCCTCTCCCAGGGCATGTAGAGATGAAGGAACTCAGGTCACTCTGAGCTCAGACCTCAGCTGAACCCACATGCCCCTTCCTGGCTCCAAGTCTAATGCTTCTAGAACCCAAAGGTTAGAGGAAATGAATATTTCATTCATTCATTCATTCATTCATTTATCATTCAGTGATGGCTAAGACGCTCCCTCTAGATGCAGAAGAGCAGCCACAGCATCATCGGGATGGAGTATCAAGTGAGTTGGGGGTGGGGTCTAGCCTGAGCTCAGACTCACCAGAAATTACAGCAGGAGGCCAGGCCAGGTCATCGTCCTGTGCACGAGGCTGGTGGTAGGTGTGGGCCTTCTTACTCTTCACTAGGAAGGATCTCGGCATTTTTCCGGGTGTGCGCCACACCTGCAACGGGGAGAAGGGGAGAGTGGCTAAGATGGCAAGCATCAATCCTTGGGTTTTGAAGCCTCTTCCAGAGATCGAAGACACCCTATCCCCATGCTGGGCTGTATAATATTTCCAAAGTTCACATCCACCTGTCACCTGTGAATGGCACATCAAGTTAAGATGTGCCTGAAGGCAGGCCACAAATGGCCAGTGCTGCTCCAGGAAGAGGGAGAACTGCTTGTGTCAGAAGAGGGGTCAGGGTTGTGCTGCTCTAAGATGATGGATGCTAAGGGCTGCTGGCTGCTTCCAAGAGCTCAGAGAGATCCATGAAATGATTTTCTCAGAACTTCCAGAAGGAACCAAACTTACTGACACTTTATCTTTGACCATCTGGCCCCCCAGACCTGTGAATTAGTCAAGGCAGAATATACTCGTGCTGAGAAATTTGAGTTGGCCTGGGTTGTACTTGGAAAGAGAAGGAAGGATGGAGCTGTGGAACCCGGTTCTAGCTGCACTTGAGGGGCTAAGGGTGCAGCTCAGCTGGTAGAGTGCATTCACGAAACCATGGTGCACCCCTAGCATCGCACAAAAGCAGGTTTGATGGTGCATGTTTATAACCCCAGCTCTTGGGAAATAGAGGCAGGAGGATCACAGTTCAAAGTGTTCCTCAGCTGTATGTGAGTTCAGGGCCAGACTGGTTATATGAAACCCTGCCTAAAGCAGATGAATAAAAAGAGCCATTCTTGAGTGTCAGTTGGACATACTTGAGACCACACAATATGAGCTTAGACATTTGGATTAAAAGCTCATGGCAAAGTGTAGTACTGCATCCTTTAGCCCCAACACTTAGGAGGCAGAGGCAGTTGGGTCTCCCTGAGTTCAAGGCCAGTCTGATCTATAAAGAGAGTTCCAGGACAACATAGTGAGAGAACCTGTCAAAAAAAAAAAAAAAAAAAAAAAAAAAAAGACAAAACAAACAAAAAGACACCAACAGCACCCCCAAAAGAAGATCATGTAGGGAGAACCTCTGCTTTCCTGTTCACTTTGGGTAGACACGTTACTTCTCTGGGCTAATTTCCTTTGCTCCAATGTGCTCTCCTGCCTGGGATGCTGGTGAGCCTCCCAGGGTCTTGATGCCTGTCTTTGTCGGGGGTTGAGGAGACAGGGATGCTTACAGAGGGACTAAGGGTAAGCAAGGCAAGGAGAGCCTTAACAGCAAGCCTGGATTGCCCTGCAGGGCTGGGAGCTGCTGCAGTCCCAACCTAAGCCTGCAGTCTGCTCTCCAGAAACGGTGGGGATTTCTGTCTGAATCATGGAAAGAAGCCAGAGGAGACCCATTCACTGGGTTTAGCTGGAGGTCTAGCTTCCCTGTGGATGGTGATAAAGAGGTGAATGCCCGTCAACTCCAGTGGCTTCATTGCTTAACTTCTTAGTCCGGAGTCAGGGGAGAATTTGAGGAGCAAATGAGTCAGAAGATCCTCCAGGTCACAAGGTGGGAGCCATGCCGACCTCCCAGGATGTGTCCTTCTGAATCCTCCAGGGCAGCATATGATCAATCTCCCACAAATGGCTCTTATTTTTGCCTTAGCCTGTGTTGTGCTCCCACAGCTCTGGGAGACAGAGAGCCTCCCTTGGAGTCCTCTAGCCTCCCTGTACTCCATACTGTTCAGGCCAAAGCTCAGAAAGCCTGGGAGGAGTCCCAGCCACACCCGGAACCAGCTACTCACTGTATCTGTGATACACCCAGCAAAGGCGGGAAAAAGGATTTGGCTGCCTCTGAGCAACAGTGAAGGGTAGGAGATAAGCCCTCCTCTCAGACCAGGGTGGGAGGCAAGATTAGGAAAGACAGCTTGGAGTTTAGTCTTGGACAAAGGCCCTCAAGTCACCCGTGTCCGAAGTGTGTGTGTGTGTGTGTACCAAAACCAGGCACAAGAGGCTTTAAGTCTGCATGTCCTGTAACCCAGAGTCCTGCTGGGGAGTATCAATGGTTGGGTGTTTGCAGCATTAACCAGGTCCAATTCTCCTTGCTATGAAGCCTGTATTCAGATCAGCTAAGAGGGGGACCTGATTCCATGTCCGTCATTGCTGGGAGCAAGAAAGGACCTTGAGCATTTAAGATGCATAGCATGGCACCTCCACCCACAGAGGAAGAGCTGAACCTGGCCAGGAGGGAGGCTCAGCACAGCAGAAGCTCTCAGGATGAACCAGGGAGCTGGCATAAATTCAAGGCCCTCCATTCTCTGAGTTCTAAAATGAAGGATGGGACTTTAACTTCTCAGGTCTCTCCCACTGACTGACCCTCGGGTCTCTAAACAAAGGATTGGAAGGGCCGCTGTTCATCCTGGTACACAGAGCAGCCACGACCTTATCTTTTGGGGCCAGCCTTCCTCCCCTGCCCCCTTCCCCTTCAGCTTCTCCTTTCCTTCCCCCTCTGAATCTTCCCAAGTCTTCCGTTGAGGGAGTCTAAGCCCTGAGCAGGGGGAGGAGGCTGGATGTGTCCGCTTGCCCCAGGACTGCCATTCTCGCAGCAGAGGGACAACAGTTATTCAGTACGGTCTGTGTGCCTCAGGCTGTGCCAGGCTTTTCACATCAGGTCCTCACCAAGACACACTCATCGCACACTACACCAAAGAGGAAAACAAGCCATGGTCGCAGCCCTACTCTGTGCATTGTGTCACTGGTGACCAGGAAGGAAGCAGAAAGTGTCTTCAGGTTGCAGGTGGGGATCTCAAGACTTAGAGAGGATGCTGACTCGTTCAAGGTCAGGTTAGAGCCAGGCCCAGGACTACTGCCCTGTTTGGATTTGACTCCTGGTCTGCTGCCCCTTCCTTACCATCCAATATTATCTGTGGTCCTCAAAGTAGCCACTGGTATAGACTATAGTACCAAAAGAAAGTGGGAATGAGAACAAAAAGTCATAGTCCTCTGGTCACCAAAGGCCACACACAGGGTCCTAACCAGCTTCAGGCAGAAAGTAGATGAGAGCAGATTTCCTTAAAGGTGGTTTTGCCCATGGTCCAGAGTTAAAGATGACCCTAGGACAACTGACCAAAACCCAGAGCAACACAGGACCATGACATTCATAAGCACTTACTGGGTGCCTTATGCTTACGTGAGAATCAAGAGGTCCTGGTGTTTTTGATTCCTCCCGCCAGGTTGCCTTGGCCCTCATCCTTTCCCTTCCAGGGCACTCTTTCCCCTAACCTGGCAGGACAACGGGCACTTGATCAGATCCTCAAGCCTACAGTGGGAACCAAGTATATCCAGAGAATTTCCTTTTGGCCCTTGTTAGCTGAGTTAAAAGAAAAGAGAGAGAGAGAAAACAGGAACCAATTACCTATAGTGTAGTTAATTAAAAACCACTTGGTTTTGATTCACACGAACCATTCTGAGAAAGAGCTCAAGGCAGAGATTGTGAAAGACACCCGGATTTCTTCATAAAACAGAGACAGTGATGGTATCTGGTCTCCGGAAAGAGGCCCCTGTCAGCATACTTCATAAAGCTTCTCTCCCGTAAATAAAGGGTCCTCGGACCCTGACTCAGAACCTGTAGCTAGGGCTGCCTGGAGGGGTGCAGAATCCTAGACTCCCAGGTTTTGAGTATAGTGGGCTCCTCTGGACTTGGCTTTCCTACCTCGGAGGTTCCTAGTACAGCCCACGGAGAAGAGTCTGATTCTGTGACCGCGTGAGCCGCTAACCTGGGTTTGGTTTTCCTATCTCTCAGAAAAGACGGTTGGGCTAAGAGATTTCTAAACTTCCCCTTTACTCTAAAATCCCATGTACAATCTGTTGACCTTCAGCTAGGGACCGACCTACCTTGCCTGAGACACTGGCCACTTGGGTTCCCTTTTCAGGAGGGTTGGGCAAGACTGGGTTGATTCTCAGGGTCAGCTACAGGGGACCCTTTGGACTTCCTTATGCATAAGGATAGAAGGGAAGAAGGGAACCAGCAAACTGCAGAGCCGACTCATGGGGTCATTGGCCAGGAGCCTGGGTTATCTTAGAGATAACCTAAAGTCAGTGAATTGCATGTGCAAGGCCCTGGTTTCAATCCCCAGCACCACTAAATAAATAGCTAATCCTCAGCAATGACCTTCAGGAGTATACAGAGGCACAGAGCCAGGAGACTCTGAGTATCCACACTCACAGTGACACCATCCTCAGCGGCTGAGAGGTACGGGGGTCCATCCAGGCAGGATGGATAAGCAAGGGACAGCCAGGCCAAAGCACACAATGATTCAGATGTCCCACAGGAGGAAATTCCAGCATGGGTGGCACGATGAACCCGAGAACATGTAGGGCGAGATAAGCTAGCCACAGAAGGACAAATGTATAGTTGCTCAGAATAGGCAGACTCTCAAAGACTGGAGTAGATTTGAGGTTAGCAGCAGCTGGGGGCAGGGGAATAGTTATTGGTTAATAGGTGTTGAGTTTCAGTTTCATAAAAGGAAACAGCCTTGGGGGGGGTGGATGGATGGTGCTGACAGGTGTACAAGATGAGTCTACTTGACAGCTAATGAGCAGTTCATAAGGCGAGCTCAGCACAGGGGCAAGCATCTGCTCTGGACACTCGGGAGGAGGTCAGGAGGACTGCTTGAGCCCGAGAGTTCCAGGCCAGCCTGGACAAACGCAGGAGACCTTGTCTTGAGGAAAAGAAAGTGGGTCAGTGAGATGTCTCCATGGGCAAAGCTTGCCATGAAGGCTTGGTGACTTGAATCCAGTCCCCAGAACCACATGTTAGAGACAGACCTCCACATGTGTGCAGTGGCACGTGAACCCTACATCTCTCTCACATGCAAAACAAACCCTGATGATGATGATGATACCTTTTCATTGTTCTCTTGAGACAGAGTTTCTCTATGTAGCCTTGGCTGTCCTGGAACTCTTTATGTAGACCACCAAGCATGCCACCATGCCTGATAATGACAATAATCTTAAGTTAAAGACATAAAGGAAAGTAGTTGGTGGCATGATGGTGCACATCTTTAATCCCAACA